CTTTCAAGTGTGAAGTTGAAAAAGCGAGCTACTTCTCCAGATCTCAAGTTTATTCTCAATAAGAGTATAAAACAAGATCATCTCCAAGTTTTCTTCTATCGCTAAAATCTGGTGAATCTGATTTTCATAATGCATAATACAAAATGTCTCCACTATTGTATGAGGAAACAAAGCTGCTCCATCTTCCCTTCAGGAACAAAAATGTGGGGGAGATGTGTGAAGAAAGGATGGGATTTATTGATCAGGAAACAAGAGAAACAAGGATAGGTTTTAGGAAGCTGCTGAGTGGGAAGCCCCTCTCTTCCCAGCCCCCACAGAGAGTAGGAGAGGGACTTCCCAGTGGCCACAATGTATCAGCCTCTGCAGTTTCAGCCCTCATCTGCTTGCAATGCTGGTGGGAAGGTTTGGGTATGGTTTGGGTATGGTTTAAGTGAGTCCCCCAAGGTTCATGTCCTGGAAACTTGGTCTTTATTGCAGTGGTAGTGGGAGGTGGTAGAACCTTCTAGAGGCAGGGCCTAGTGGGAGGTGTCTGGGTCATAACCACCCTCCTGGGGGAATCAATGCTGGTATCATAGGGCAGGCTATGTCTGCAGAAGTGTATTAGCTCCCACAAGTCTGGGTTGTTATAAAGGACCCTGATCCCTCCCCACCATTTTTCTTCCTCTCTCAACAGGTAATCTCTCACTTCCAGACATTCACCTGCCCTGGTATAATGTCTGCTACAGCATCACCTAGCTTGTGATATAGTGACACAGACAGGAGGTTCTTACCAAATGCCAGTGTTTGGACATTTCAGGCAGCAGAATGGTAAACCAAATAAACCCCTTTTCTTTATAAAGTATTCAGCCTGGGGAATTTTATTATAGCAACACAAATGACTCAGAGTAAGATGGAAGGAAGAGTGCTGAGAGCCTATCGCTCCCAGCCAGGTTAGGAACCAGCCAATACTGAGTAACTGTTGCGAAGCCCAGGAGAAATAGGAAGTTCCCAGTGGCTATTCAACGGTCTAATTTTTCTGTTCTTTACCCAGAATGGGCATGTACCTGAGCAAAATAATACTGAAACTTGAAGTAGTCTACTCCCACACAATAGGGCCACTGGCGTGGGTATACCAACGGTCCACTTCCTCCACAGAATCCCTCCCTGATCAGGGTGTACACTCACCCACCAATAGCCCAGGTTGCAATGATCCTTCAGAGCTACCTAGTAAGCTATTCACTGGCACACAGAGGTCCCAAAACCAGTAGTTCTAACCCTACCATCATCATGGATGGTTCAATATAGGGTACATCTCTAATGTGACATGTAAAAAAATGTTGTTTTTGAAAGACTTCCTTCTTAAATAAATCCGAGCCAATTCAAGCCTAATTCTTTAGCCCACCAAAGCCACTTCTTGTGATCTCTTGTACTTTATTGCATAGGACAAAGGGATAGAGGTTGGCCTTTAGAGATTATGTATAACCCTCCCTCCTGCTTAGCTGCTTTAAGGAAAGTAGTAATAGTAACAGTTAACACATAACAATGGCACCATGTATCTACTAACTGATTTAATTCTCAAAACAACCATGAAAAATAAGGACTGTTATGAACAACTATTATCTTTATAACTTCCAACTTAAAGAGGAGAGAGAAGGGAGTTGACAGCACAGGAAAGGAAACAAACCTGCCTAAGGTCATACCAGCAGAAAGTGACAGAATCAGGATTTGGGCCAAGGTACCTTGAGTCCAGTATCCATGCTTACTTTTAACTACTCACTGGAGCAATACCTATGAACCAAGGACCTCTTCTTGGGCATTTTACATATACGAACTTGTTGACTCTCACAACTCTGAGAAGTATGTTTCATCGTCCCCATTACAGAATAGACCCTTATTAATAAATGATGAAGGCAGGACTGGAATCCAAATCTGTCTTATGCACAAATTTCTTCCTATATAACAATATATCAGAAGGGAATAACTCTCAAATATCTTTCTAATGGATTAGCTTGGGTGTTCTATCTAGATTTCACCTGGCCTCAGTAATCCAAACTTAATATTAAAGTTATACTCTAAAAATATAAAACAAACAAATAAATATAGCAATAGCAATAAGTAACTTGAATGCTGACTATGAACCAGGTGCTGTTCTGGGCACTTTACCTATATATAAGTTCACTAATTCTGACAACACAACCATAAGTGCTTACCTACTTCAGAAGTTTAGGTTCACTGATCATGTATAATGTTTTGCTAAAGTTAAACAGATGCATTTTCTTTCCGAGATTAAAAAAAAATGGTTGTTATCATCCCAAAGGAAACAGACACTTTCAAAAATTAAAAAGGCTCTTTTTTAGTACTAAAACGTATTTCCTAGGATTTTTCAGTTCTACTGAAACCAGAGGTTCAAGATTATTTCATATGGCCCAAACATGACAAATCTTTTTTCTAAACATTTGAAACCTGAAAAGGGATGCATTGTCCTTAAAGCTAAGAACCTCTCAAACAGAAGTTTTGGTTTGAAAATGTCAAAAAACCTTGAAAATGGAAACTGCCATGCCTTTTGTGAAGAATTTTGTTAAAAAAATATTTTTATTGGAATTCAGGGTTGGAAAGGAAGAGACAAGGAGAAAAAGCAGAGGAAATTGCAAGGTAATGGTTCTGACTGAAGACCAAAATCCTCTGGCATCAGTGCTGCCACACGGGTCCCAGTGCTCCCTGCCTGCTGAGCAGACTGTCAGTTTAGTGCACGGATTCTACTTCTTGAAGTTTCAATAACCAGGGAAAGGAAAGGGATGGGGAGTAGATCAAGTATTGGGACTACTGTGGCCATTAACCTTGAGAAGGTAGCACAGTGGACTACGGAAAGGGGAGAGCAAAGTGTGCCCAGGCATTCACATTGAGTCCCCCAAATAGATACATATATATTTTAGGTTTTCTGGGAGAATCTGGAAAGCATGGAGACTGGGAACTGCAGAGAAATGCTCCCCCTAGAACATCCTAGAAGATCTGTCTGGGCCAGAAAGAAGTAACTACCACAGCTGGCTCTGCACAGGCACGAGTGATTGTGACAGCAGCCTTTCTGGTCCCGGCTGTCTCCTAGCAATTATCAATGCCTGGATATTGAGGAAGAAGGGGCAAGCCCCAATTCTTCACAGTTGGCCATCTTCTCCTTATACCCACTCATACTATGACAAACTGTCTTATGAGATAAAAAGTTAACACTGGCATGACAACCACCCAATCAGAAATGCTATCACGGTGAAAAGGGAAATCCCAGAGCTCTCAGCAGGACAGATAATGGTAGACTATGGCAGGAGGCCCATGTGCAAAACTTTCCTTTAATGCTAATAATTCATAACTAAATTTTCCCTCTTCTCCTGGTATGCAAATCCATGTAAATATATTTATATTAATTACCACCTGATTTTATTTCTTCCTCAGAAACACTAATGGCCCCTTTCATGTCTCTGTACTCAACAGTATCAGAATACCCCACCTGTATTCAACATTTTATAGGGTACCTTTTAACTCACAGCTCTGCCTACCGTCCAGCAGCTCATGTTACATTGATAGGTACTTATAGATAAATCTGGAAAGCACTTGTTATGATCTTATTTCCCTATAACTTGTTATGAAAAAACAACAAGAAGAAACAGGCAGATTGGAGACTGCAATCATATTCAATTTCAAATGGTTGACAAGCACCTGTTTACAAACCATCCATCCTCAGGGCTCCCAGAAAGGAGCTGATAATGAGGCACATCTCCCTCCTAACCAAAAGGAGCAGTCTGAACGCTTATAAAAGGTACAAAACTCACAATGGAGATCCCAAACCTCAGACAGTCACAGAACCTGAAAAGTCACACAAGCAAAGAGTGTTTTGCAAGGTGCATTCCCCACTCAGCCTCAGAACATCTCTCCTTCCATTCCTCCACCCCCACCCCTCCCACACAGAGCAGACTCCCAAAAACACAACAAAGACAGGGGCAGGCAACAGCTCCCAATCCCATCTCACGCCTGGGAAAGAGAATGAATTTCTACTCTTCTAAACAAGGTCTCTTTTATCAGGGCCTGTATGTTTAGTTCAGCCTGTCCAATGCAAAAAGTTGGGAAGTTTGGACTTGCAGAGATAGTTGAGTTACTTGGGTGTGACCCATTTAAACCAGGTCATTTTTAAAGTTCCTTCAAAGTCTGATTTTATCAATTTACGAAATCATCCAAGCATCTAGAATGAAGGATGAGAGATCTATGAAGTAAACATCTACCATGTAATATAGGGTACTCCAAAACTAAATTGTTGGATGGAAGAAACAATTATCACTTTCAATTTCTTTTCCTTTTTAAGCAACTTCCGGAGAACAAGCTATTTAAAATAGAATCACAACGGAGAAAGCCATCACTAGCTGGACTTCAAACAAAATGACACTTCATTAAAAAAAAAGAAAAAAACAATGTGTGGCGACGTTTGAGAGGGTCTCATAATCACACAGCGACCAGGAAGCTGCTAGAAACAATTAAGCAGGGTTTCAAAATGACTGGTACAGGATGTGCCCATAGAAAGAAATGTTGCTCGCACTGGTGCAGCAGCCAAAGTTACTAAAACAAAGTACTCTAAACTTTTATTAAAGGGTGGCATGGGGTCACTCTGACCACCGTCCTTCCAATGTGGTCGCTTTACAAACACGATATTTGGCGGGAGGGAGGAGGAGAGAGGTGAGAAGACTAATGAGCGGGAGGTGGGGGCAGGGTAGAAGTCGGCCGAAGCTCCTGGGTCGCTAGGAACGTCAAGGTTTCGCTTTCGTGCAAGTAGGGGACCAGACGGTGGCAGTGAACTCCACCCCCCCACCTTGCCGCCCCCAGAGACCCCGCGCGGCGAGGACAACAGGAACGCCCCTGAGCTGCAGGATTGCGCCTTCTCCGCGGCCAGGGAGCGCAGGGGCGCGCCGAGAATTGGGAGCAGCCGGGACCACCGGGAAGGGTCAGCGGGTGGCGTGGGCAAAGCCCCAAAAGGCGCCTACCTGTGCCGCTGCGCGCTCAGAGCCCAGGGCCGGGCCGCGGCACGCAGGTGCTCGGGGGCACGGTGGGGACGGCCTGAGCGGGCGGGGCATCCATCGTCCCCAGCTGGCTGCGCTCTTCCCGCCGCCGGGTGCTGGGAGGGTACAGCTCCGCAGATCTGGCGCCTCTTCTCCAGGCTGAGGACACTGCCGGTCCTGTGGCGGCTGCAGCAACAGGCACCGTAGAGCGGACGGCAGCAGCAGCAGCAGCAGCCACAGCCGAGGAGGAGGAGGAGGAGGAGGGGGGGGGTGTCTGCGCGCGGCTCGCGTTTCCTCCTCCCTGGCTGGGCGAGCGCGGGGAGGCGAGGGGAGGGCAGAAGACGGGATCTCCCTACTCGGTCCCCTGGGAGCCGAGAAGGGGACGCGGCGCACCCCCCTCCCTTCCCCATTGCGCCGTGTGACTCTGCCCGCGCCGCACGGCCGGGACGGACGAGTCACAGGCGAGCAACAGCTGCTGCAGTGCGGGTCCGCCGCGGCCTTCACCCCCTCCCGCACTCTCCCCAGCGGCCCATCCTCAGCACAGTCCCGGGGTCTCCCGGCGCGGGAAGGGTGCTCTAGCCGCCGCCCCATCCTGCCCCAGCGAAGGATCCTGGCCCAGCGCACTCCTGGGAATCTGAGGTCCCGGGCCCGGCGCGTGATTCGAGCCCTCGCGGCTGGATGTGCGGTCGCACACTCTGTCCTCGGGAACCTATTTATAGAAGGTGGCACTGTCCCCGTCGCTAGTTCGGCCCGAGAGGCTCTCAGCAGGTGGCACTTGCCCGCCCGCTCTCCGCTCTCCCCCAGGAGCCTCGCCTTATTTGCCCCCTCGCCTTCTCCCTCCAAAATGGAGTTGGGGAAAACTGCGCAGAACACCGGGAGGCGACCTAACCACCTGGCTCTCCCCCGCATCACCCCTTCTGCCTGCCCTAGGGTTGGGTGATGGGAGGGGTAAACCCAGGCACGGATGCCCAATGGGGCACTGGTGGCAAGAGGAAAAATCAGGGACTCAGGGAAACAGCGAAGACTGAAGTGCTCTCCCCGGATTAAACATCAGTGAACCCCATTTCTGACCGATTGCGGGTGTGACGCAGAGCCTGGATTGGGCACTTTTTCTCTCCCTGAGCGCCAAGCGCACATGCACGCGCGAATGTGTACACGCACGCACACTTACACTCAGCTACACACACATACACACACACACACACACACACACACTCCTTGGCGTGTCTGCCACAGCTGAGCTTTGACGCTGTGGCGTGTAACAAGAGACACAGAGGAGATGTAAAGACTGAGAAAGCCAACTACCTAGGATTAGGGAATTGATAGTGAGTAAGAAAGAAGCAAACCTCCCAAACTCCTACTCCACCGGGTAAATAGGGACAATTTCACTTCCAAGAGAAGAGGAGAGATATAACACTCTCTGCAGAAACCAGTGGGGAGGAGGCACGCAGGAAGAAAATCAAGAGGTGTGCGGAAGGAAGGCAATCAGAGAAACCCAGGTGGCATCTTTCCTTTAAAAAAAAAAAAAAAAAAAAAACCTAGAGTAGCTGGAAGTCAAGTTTAGGGAAGGGGCTGGGAATTTGAGTGTAGCTGTCCTGTAGTGCTGGGTTCATTCTTTGTTACAGTACAGTTATTTGTGTACTTAGTTTCAAATCATTTTTTAAAAGGGGTAAGGAATGCATACAGTCATGGAGACTTCAGTGAGTAGAATGTTGACTAGATTATGGAAATTGTTTAAGTTATAAAACCAGGTAAACCAGTTAAGCCTTATTGTTATCCCTTGGATCATACCATATTTTTTTTCCATGTTTTTAGCTCAGCTCCATTGTACAACTCTCTGTGGTGGCCTGCTGAACAGACTTACTTTTATTAGAGTGCTAAGCTGTTGAGACAGGCAGGCACACAGGTCATCCACTTCAGGGGCCTAACACTCTGCTTTACATGCATACCTGGTACACAATGGTAAAATCTATTACATAACAGAAAGGGGGTCAGGGCAGAGGTGAGGGGGTGCTGGGCTGCGGAGGGGGGGTGATAGTGGTGGACCTTTGCAATTCTCCATCACTTTTTCAGTTCCCAGGGACATTTTGTGCTCTAAGAATAATGAGGGATTTTTAATACTTTTTGCTTCCTAGAAACAATCTCCTTCATAAGGCACAATGAAGATTTTTTACTCCCCACCCTTCCTTTGGAACAGTCTTATCCTAAAAAGTGGATAAGTAGCCTATGCATTTGCCCTTAGGTTTCTAGCAGCTCTGGAAGAAATAGTTAAAGGACTTTGGAGTTGATGGTGGCACCTGGGAGGGCAAGACAAAGACTGTCAAACAGGGAGTGGAGGTCCACACTATTACAGCACAGAATGGAGAGCGCCACACTAACCACTGGACTCCTGCCCGCAAGTGCCATTGCTCCAAAGAGAAGTGGCCCCTTCCTTGTGATGCATAGACCTGCAAGTCCCAGCAGAGCTTTTACACCACCCTGGCAGAGTGGTGGAGCCGTGGGGCCTTGGAGACCCCTGGGCCCAGGGAGATGTCTGTTTGGTCCATCTTTAAGCTAAGTAGGGAAAAGGGCTAAACCCTTCTGTGATTCTGCTTCTCCTGATTGTGACCAGAAGCATGAGGGATGTGAAACATTCCTTACAAGGGACACTTGGCTGAATCAGTTACTGACCCATTGGCTTGGTGAGTGAAAACCCCTGATGGGAAGAACTCACTCATAGTGGCTGCACTGGAAAAACTGTACACCTCAAATGCCTTTTAAATCCTGTGATGCACCCTTCTTTTAGGGCTTCCCCTATGGAGTCATTCCTGATTTAGTCATTTGCAGCATAATTAATTATTCATTGCCAAAGGCCATCAACATTAATATCAGCTTTAAGATGGCTACAGAGCTCTTGAAAATTGTGAACCATTGATGCCGTTAAATCAAGTGGGAAGCCCAGAGGTTGCAAGAAAATAGAGGCCACTTGACTTATAAAATGTTAAGGGAACAATATTTAAACCTAAAATTAAAAGTCTTTGGTTAGCCTAACATGCCTGAGGTCCTGGGTTTGGTCCCCAGCACACCAGAAAAACAGAGAAACAAACAAACAACTTTGGTTAATGTAGAAGAGATCTTAATAAAATTACTCATTAAATCTACTAGCTAGGTATTTAAATATTCATATTAGTGAGGAATCCAAACTTTAATTATTGCCATGACCCATTTTTATCTGAAAATTTACATAATGAAGCAAGAGTTCTTCATCAGAGGGCCTATTTCCAGAATTGGCATCAGTAAAAGCAAACATTAAGATTACACTGAATAGAACCCCAAGAGGATAAAGAAGTTCACGGGGTGCACTTACTCTCATTGACTGATGGTGACTTTCTGGAGCCCTAGGTACACAAGGGTCATTGAAGCAAGTCCATGGTCAGTGGAAAAGGGTGTGTGTGATTGAGAAGATTGGGAGAAGGCAACCCTGGCAGCACCAGTGTTGCCCTATTTGCCAACCTACCAAATTTCTGCTGTTACTATTAGCTTCAAAGATATGTTAGGTAAAGTTCAATCTCAATTAGATGTAAGACATATGCTTCGTGACAAGAAAATGGACAAAGTCAAGATCAGAGACTACTCCCTTCGTTGACTGGCCTACAATGCCAGGGACTTGGAATTGCTTTCTGAAAGGCCTAACAGTGACAAAATAGGATGTTGTTTAAAAAAATAAATAAAATGAGCAGTTAACCAGAGCAGATTTTGGAATTATAAACAAAAATTTTCTTTTTTTTTTTAATTTTTTTTTTTTTAATATTTATTTTTTAGTTCTCAGCAGACACAACATCTTTGTTGGTATGTGGTGCTGAGGATCGAACCCAGGTCGCGGCGCATGCCAGGCGAGCGCGCTACCCCTTGAGCCACAACCCCAGCCCAAACAAAAATTTTCTTGCATGAAGAACTGGTGCCGACAATTGGTGAGAGGACATAAATCCATGCATGGTGGACTGTGTACTCAAGCCCCAGAGCAAGCTTCTGGGCAGTGTCTGATCTCCTTTTATGGACAAAGCAGATAAAACTCTGGGCACTGGTTCCACTTCCCTTTTCAGCAGGCGCTCCTATTTGTCATTGCTTGACACAAGCAACTGCTCCATGCAGCCCTCTGGTGGTATCTAGCCTTTCCTTGATGTCCCCACTTCCCACCTGAGTTGGACATGGGAGTGGGCATCCGGCACACCACTGAACAAATACTAGCCAGTACATCGTCTTGTATTGTGGTATCTAGATTTGTCTAAGGTGATGAGAACTTTGTACATCTGCAGAGCTAGTTTTTTTACCCAGACTAAGCAGTCAACCTTACAGGATCCCAGCTTCATTTTACCCCAAAGCCATCATGCCAGTGCTGGTCCATCACGTGCCATCTCACCTAGACTCAGTAGTTGGCTAACTGGTCTCTGTGCATCTGCCCTCACCACCCTACAGTCTATCCTCAAGGCAGAAGCCAAGGGGATCTATGAAAACATCAGTCAGAACGTATCACCATGGCTTCTCAAAGTTCCCAGAGTAAAAGTTAGAATCCTTATTTTTGGGGCTGGGGATATAGCTCAGTTGGTAAAGTGCTTGCCTCGGGTGCACAAGGCCCTGGGTTCAATCCCCAGCACCAAAAAAAAAAAAAAAAAAAAAAAAGTCCTTATGTTTGTAGGGCCTATGGGATCTTCCCCCTCCTCCACCCCCATGCCACTGATTCTGCACTACATCATTGGCTATCAGTCTTGATCTGCTCCTGCCCACACTGGTCTTGCTGTTACTCAAAGCTGCCAGGCACGCCCCTTGAGTTTCTTACTTGTCATTTATCTTTCCTCTTCCCCTTCCAGGGCAGCAGAGAATTTTGTTGCTTTGTTCATTGCTCTATTTTCAATGCATAGAATAGAGAGCCCAGCACATAGTAGGCATTCAGTAACTATGTGCTGAGTGAATGAATGAATGAAAATAATTTATAATAGGTGGCATTCATAAGTTCATTGAACTTTCTATAGAACTTTCTTAGATTAGAAACTGTAGATCTCTGTTCACTCCTTGTGCCTTCTCCAGGTTTCTAAACTAAGCTAAGAGATGAGTCCTGGCCCCCAGGAGAGGTGAATGTTAAAGCGTATGATTCCTTGTTTAACCATCAACACAAGCTCCAATTTCCACATGTACCACAGGACTGCAAAACCTTGGGACAACTGAGAACTCATCAGTGCACCGTATTTGCGGAAAGTTTGGATGAGAAAAATATGATCTTGGAGACTTGTATGAATAACGTACAGTCCAATTA